AACATGTAACAGAGATTTTGGGCACTTCCAGCAGGATGAGGCTTCTCCTGGCAAATTCTGCTCTGCAGAGAAACAGCAGATCAATAACAGCAATTGTACAAAAGCAGTTCGGGGGACAATCAGCTTCATTTCTTTCCTAGCAGGAAATTTGGAAATAGAATCTCAGTTTGCCAAGCAGCAAAGTGCCACCACTGGTGTTACTAGACAGCAAAAACAGGGGGTGCTTAACCCAAAATGCACTTTCTTGGCCTAATTCAGGGAGGCTCCTGAGGCTATTCCAGACTTTGGCAGAAGCAGTGTCAGGTAAGGCACAGAATGAGGCAGCAGAGCCCTGAACCTGCCTTCTGTGCCCCAAAATGCAAATTCCAGTGAGGAGGGGATGGCAGAGATGGCAGCCTGCTCCCAGGGGCTGGGGCACATTGCAGGTGCCAATTCCAGCTCCTGCAGGGCAGGGGGGATGTTGGCTGGATATTTCTGTTCTCCAGGCTCACAGATATCCCTGTTATTGTGGCTCACACACTGTGCAGGGAGGGAAGGAGCTCGGGGGGCTCTGGGGACATCGTCCCAATGTGAACACACACTTTAGGAACAGATTCTTAGCGGTGTTTTAGCATTTCCATAATGCACATACCAAGAGATATCAGATATCCTAAAACTAGGATTTTTATATTTAGTGTTTTTAAATTTTAAATGAACTCTTAAGGAAGTAGGGAGACCCATTAATAGTGGCTGTGCTTAAAATATCCTTTCATTGTCTGAAGTAATGACTATTCAGCCCTGTTCAGTCCAAGGCAGAAGTTCTGAAATCCACAAGAACTTTATTTTTAGTGAAACTCTGGCTAATTATGAGTATCACTTCACCATCACTCCTTTGCTCTAGACACTCCTCAAACACAGGGAAGTAGATGGGCTAAAAATACAACCACAGATAAAAAAACCCTCCTACTTTCCTTATGACATCCTGAAGTATTCTGGCCTTGAAATGGGTTTCTCAATTAGCTGCTRTGTACTAATTCACTGTGGAGTGCAAGAGGAATCAGCAATCAATTAGAAAGGCATTATGGATATAAAAATAACCTCTCCCTGAGAGCAGGAGACATCTCTCCACTCTTCCTGCTATATACGTGCCACAAACAGTTGAAATAACCATTCCTAGACAGTGCAAAAAGGCTGTACATCCTCATGAAAAACAAAAACCCCAAGAGAAACAGAGCATGACTTAGATATACAACTGTACAGCAAAAGCAATGTTAATAAATTACTTTTGTGAATTTGGCTGTAASACTATGTGGAACCATAAAATCTGCCTGGGACTTGTTTTGAAGAGATGATAGGTTTTAAAATTTCATGCATTTTGAAAACAGGGGTGCTGCTTCTTTACTGTGCAGAACAAAATTTATAATGAAAAAGTTTTAAAATAAAAAAAACCTGTGATAAGCAAACATTCTTTAATACAATAGATCATGACATAATTTATTTAGGAATTTGTAAAACTGAAKGAATATGTAAACAAGACTGACCAGCTCATGCCTGGATTTGTGGGGAAGGWATCTCTGCAGCATATCCAGGTACAAAGCCCTCCTCCTCTGGAGATCACTCGGGTACTGATTGATGACAGTCTGGAAAACCCACTGATCTTCTTCCTTCCAGCCACTGCTCCTAAAGGAATGCAAACAATCCATCCCAGGATAATTTAACACTGAAAAGGAGTTTGGTTCTACAGCCCAGTCTTGAGCAGGCTCACAGTCCTGACACAGTGAACTGGATGTTGGGTCAGAGGGGAGAAAATCAGATTTAATGAAATAAAGCAAACATACATTGATTGCTTCATTAACATGACACTTCTTGTGTCATCATTAGAGTGAATTATTCTGTTTTTAATCTGGCTTTTTATTGGGGAATGGCACTGTGTTKCTCAAACATGCCACATTAATGGATAGTCAGTGATCCCACAGGGAAAACACAAYGTGAAAAAGAAACAAGATGATCAGACTGAGCACTAAATAAATGACCAAAATGGAAAAATGGAGTGACAATCCCTGCACACAGCTAAATGAGGATCTAGTTTACCTAGATCCTAACAGCCATAAACTCATCAGCAAGGTGTAAGTTTAATAATTTTTTAGAATAGGAGCTGTAGTAATCAGCTTGCATTGATCTGTCTCAGAAAATAAGAGCAGCAAGAAGTACCATCCATCTCAAACAGTCCCAGGGCTGGGATGCAGATTTTCCCCTCAGTCTGAACTCTCAGCCCTGCAGGATTAATGCCAGGCTGTCACTGTCAGCATTAACATCCAARCACTGAGTCAGACCCAAAGGTCTCTGTGGCCCACTGACCTGCTTTCAGCAGTGACTCAGAGTCCAGAGTTAATTAAAAGAAGCAATTGTGAGATTCTAGCCACCCCCAAAATTCCTGCAGCTGCTGCACCCCCAAAGCAGCAGCAGAGCCTCAGCATTGCAGTGAGGGGTTGGAACAGCCTTGTCCTTGTGCAGGCAAAAGGAACAG